GGTATAATCTCATGACACCAGCCTACTAGTACAATCCAATGACACCAGCCTACTAGTACAATCCAATGACACCAGCCTACTGGTGTAATCCAAAGACACCAGCCTACTAGTACAATCCAATGACACCAGCCTACTAGTACAATCCAATGACACCAGCCTACTAGTACAATCTCATGACACCAGCCTACTGGTACAATCTCATGACACCAGCCTACTAGTACAATCCAATGACACCAGCCTACTAGTACAATCCAATGACACCAGCCTACTAGTACAATCCAATGACACCAGCTTACTGGTATAATCCAAAGACACCAGCCTACTAGTACAATCCAATGACACCAGCCTACTAGTACAATCCAATGACACCAGCCTACTAGTACAATCTCATGACACCAGCCTACTAGTACAATCCAATGACACCAGCCTACTAGTACAATCCAATGACACCAGCCTACTAGTACAATCCAATGACACCAGCCTACTAGTACAATCCAATGACACCAGCCTACTGGTATAATCCAAAGACACCAGCCTATTAGTACAATCCAATGACACAAGCCTACTAGTACAATCCCATGACACCAGCCAACTAGTACAATTCAATGACACAAGCCTACCAGTACAATCCAATGACACCAGCCTACTGGTATAATTCAAAGACACCAGCTTACTAGTACTCGTGATCCAGGTGTCAGAGGGGCTGGGTTAACACTGCGGTTACATAATTGTATTGTAGAATAGCACGAATAATTTGATCAACTGTTGCCATGGTTACTCTGCTACCTCTTTCATTCATGGGAGATTTGGGACAAGTTCATCTTTAAACATGTGCTAAAACGAGTAGTTGAAATGTGCTGATACATTCGGTTGATGATCTAATATGAAGTGAAATTTATTTGATTTTCCCAAGTAGTTGTCATGCTTGAAGACACTTGTTCTCTTTAACAAAATTTCACCATTATTTGAAGAAAACAAGCATAAATAGAAAGACCGGTGGAATTAGTTTTTACCTTAATTTAGTCGTGGCATGTGTGCTCTGATGTTGGTATTACTACCTTACACTAAAATATGTTTGGATATTTAGAGAAGTAACAAATTCCCCCTTCCAGTCTGGTCACTTAAATTACACCATGAATATTCACTTTTATAGATATAATTTTTGACATGTGTTGGTTCTTGGAAATTTCAGCTTACTGTGGAATACTTTATTTTCGCTTGGTATTAATTTTCTCTGAAGGAATAATTTAGTGAAAATAAAATCCAGCGAATGTACAATCAATAAAACCAGTTATAAAGGACTGGACACAGACATTATATATATATATTTTTTTTATTTGCCTTACTCGCACATATGCAATTTTAACAACCACAGAAATGACAATGTTTAAAGAAAAATATGAACTTCAGATTCAAGTCATGATAGATTTCAAACAAATAACTAAACCAAAAAAAAATGTTGGGAACCCTGTCCCTCAAATACGACAATTCAGATAATTGAAACAAAAACATTAAATTACTTAATTTATTATAATTTAATTACCAGTATAGTCTGAAAGGAAGAAAAACAAAATGTGCAGCAATGCCGTGTTTGGGAAACCAGACCAAGTTTAAAAAATTAATTATTAATACAACAAATGAATTAATAGTATACATTCTATAGGAATCCATTGGACATCCTTTATTTAAATTAACAAAATGTACGCCAGATCTTCATTGAAATTGGCCTGGAAGACAATATATCCATGGCAACTGCAATGCTGCTGCTGCTGCCTACAACTATTAAATCTGGCTATTTGGCATCTTGTACCCATGACAACTTAAGGGCACAATCAAATTCAGACTCTTACAAGCACCATTTAAGCCTATTTTAACAGCAAGCATGTAAACTGTTAGTCAGAGGCATTATGAAGTTCAGTCATTTGTATTTGGGTTCATGTAATCCCGACCATGGTATTCTAACCAATGTTTTAATCTCAGTGACAATGTCGCTATAAGATCACAAAAACCCATTTGCCTCTATTGTAATAATAACTTAATTACAGGTATGAATCTATTGACGTACAGGTTGGACGACTTGTGAACAGCATTACTACTACAGGCTTGCTCTGAATATCAACTTTCAGCTTTGGTGCATCTTAAATTTAGATTCTTAAAAATTAAAATTTCATCATTTATACAATTGATCAGTGCTAATTTTGTTTTCTTATGAGAATGCATTGAACATAAACTACTGATGCAATGATAAAAAGTCAGATACATTAAATATTTGAATCAAGGTATTCCATTAAACAAAGGCATTAAAATATTATTTAACATATATGAAGTTGTGGAGGAAGAAAATAATATGCCTTTGGTTGTCCATTGATGAATAGAGTAAGGACAACGTCACAAATATTAATTTTATCAAGTAGTTGTTTAGATGCAAACACAACAGTGCAACTACAGACTAACAGGGTGGGTCCCTTTTATCCATATTAGTGATTCATTTTTAGATGTCATCAATGTCAATGTCATCCTCCTCTAGTTGTGGTGGTGGTGGTACATCATTTTTCTGTGGCACAGATTCTATTTTCAACGAGTCACCACTGTGGCTGGAGTACACAACCTGAAACAGAAAAAAAACCTGCGTCAGGAAAGTTGCTTTATCTGTTGGAAACTATATACTGTATTAGTAGCAGATATGCTGATAAAGAGCTGTGTGCGTGTTGTTCAAAGTCAATGATATTTCAATGATACAGTATATAATTCATGTAACTTGGAGATGCATGTCTAATAGAGCAAATACAGTACATGTGTATGATGCAAGTGCTGAGAGAGAGAGGGGAACCACGCTACCACAACATGGTATATACTATGTGTTATGGATTTTGAAAATGTTGGTTTAAAGCACATGGTTATGAATCCCATTTTTCATACCCTTTCCAAAATGAGACACAGCGGCTGTGGTCTGTCCATTCATTTTCACTCATCCAGAGTGTGGGCACATTCAACCTCGGGGAGAACGAACATGGCATAAGTGAGGATAATTAAGAATTCAATTTCTCTCACCTGTACAGACTCTTCCTCCTCTTCCTCTTCACTTGACTCCTCGTCAGCTTCTTCCAACCATTTGATGAATGGTGCAGCTTTCTCATGGATTTGCTGAGATATCTCTTTAGACACAAACTTCTTAGATGGCTACAATATTACGAGAAAAATATCACTTTAAAAGCACCCCAGTCATTGCAATGAGTCACGCACACTTGATATGGTCTTATGCAAACTACACAATACCAAACGCAAGTTGTACGAGTACTGCACTTTGACGGCCATAATTTTCTTGTTAATTTATTAGTTGATTTTAGACCACTATTTCCCATTGCCAACATGCAGGTCTTGATCCGAATACAAAAATTGATTGTATTAGCATTTTAGTGTATCGCGTCACTAAAAAATGAGGGATTGACAACATATAGTGTGTATCATTGCAAATGAAACTTGTTTCAAAATTGGGGTCCTCCTAATATAGGGAAGATTTCAAAAAGCACAATTTGGCGTTAACACCCCTGACAAAATACAGTGAAAGTTCTCTTTGTGCTCATCATATTAAAGCGGAGGGGTTGTCGCAGGGGTGTCCTTGAAACTTGAGTTCCAAGTGGCGTGGCGTATACAACAGATTGTTTATTTACATTAAAACACTTGTTCCGTGTAGTAGTAATATGGCCAAAAATAAAAACGGCCGTTATTCGGCCATCTTTGATCTGATTATGAAACACACTGATATGTATGATGTATGTGTCAAATACAAATGGTACATAAATTGTGGGCAAAAAGTCAGATGGCTGTCAATCGGTCATCCTTGGCCAGATTTTGAAACAAATTGTCATGGACATAAATCCTGACATGTATAAAGTACTGTGGAATACTTTATTTTCGCTGGAATTAATTTTCGCTGAAAAGGCTTTTTGGGCGTTTTGTATGTAATTTATTTTCACTGATTTTTTTTATGAGTTTAATGTGAAATATAGGAAAAAAAGTATATTCGCTGGATTTTATTTTCACAGAATCATCCCTTCAGCCTAAATAGCGAAAATAAATTCCAAGCGAAAATAAAGTATTCTACAGTACATGTATGTGCCAAATTTGAATGAAAACTGACAGCACGTCCAAGATACCGCATAAAAAAACAAGCAGCCTATCGGCTGAGATAGCTCCGCTGTTAGCAATGCACATTTCAATTAAAGAACTGAAGACATTAGAAAATGAACAATATGTATAGTATCAAAGCAATCGGACTTACAGTTTTGAACAAGAAGTCGAAAATATCACTTTTTACAAAAATGACAAAAATATTCACCAAAATTAAAGAATCGAAGATATCATCACGAAATGAACAAATCTGAGAGAGGTCCAGATGTAGTACACAAATGTACCTATATATGTAATATCAAAGCAATCAGACTTGCAGTTTTTAACAAGAAGTCGAAAATATCACTTTTTACCAAAAATGACAAAAATATTCACCAAAATTAAAGAATCGAAGATATCATCACGAAATGAACAAATCTGAGAAAAGTCTACATGTAGTATCTATATACGTAATATCAAATCAATTGAACTATTGGTTTTTAACAAGAAGTTGAAATTATCACTTTTTACCAAAAATGACAAAAATATTCACCAAAATTAGAGAATTAAAGGTATCATCACGAAATGAACAAACCTGAGAGAGGTCCACCC